AAATGCTTGTTTTAAACTATATTCTATTAATAAATCTAAATGAAATAAGGTGTTGAATATTGCAAATGCATTTATCAATAGTTTACTCATCTTTGGATCACCTGCAGGTAAAGCTGAAGTACTGATGGTTTGATAGTCCCTAAATTATCCAGGTGTTCAGGGATGAAAGGAATATTATGCAGCAGAACACCTGAAACCTACAAAGATTTTATATTCAGAGTACTGTTGTAGAACAGTTTACATTTACTCAAAAGCCCTCTTAATAGCAACACCTGTCTGACTGCTTTTTAACCAGGTGGATTAGCCAATCACCAGGCAGAAACATGATGCATTAGGCATCTGCAGTACTGTAAATATGCAGGGAATTAAATGACATTAAGCATTAAAAAAACATTTATAAAACTCGATTTGATCTAAGGATTTTGATAAATTAAGGATAATTGATGTGAGACAAAAGAAGGATAACTGTAGCTTAAGTAATTACTCAAATGAGGATACACAGTGTGTCAGCCCTTCAAGTATCACATCAAGGACCATACAGAAGAACAACGTAGTGTCACCAGGTTGGACACATGTTCACAATGAATAAACAATAATGGATTAAAGGTAGCTTGTCCTATTTTTGTTGTTTTTTGCTCCAAATTCCGATTGTAAGATTAAATAAATTAATGTGAACACTTGAATGCATATATCACATCTAGTATCAATTGGTTACAGCTAGTGATGGTTATATAAAGATATTTGGGAATATTTTCTTGGAGGAATGAAGGCATCTATGTTCCAATTATGCAATCGTACTGAGGGCCTTTAGTCACCAGATATTAGTTAAAAAGACAAATAACAGTATCTCATGGACCAAAACCTCTCAGAAACATTTCTGAGACCTTGTTGGAGATCCATGTTAGAAACAAATCAGCTAGCTATGAAGGCAAAATGGAGTCAAGACCAGTACTGGCAAGATCTACCTAATAAAGCGTCCAAACAGTGAATTTCACCAAAACACTATTAATATGCACAGTAATTGTATCAAAAACTTTTGTTTGGAATATATTGTTTGTTTAGGATTATAATATTAATATCAATATATTCCGTGATTACCATCATGGAAGATAGTGACAAAAGAGAGTCAAAAAATATGCTTTATCACATGTAACATAAATATAGCATCATATGATTTATGAATGTAATACAGCTTTTTTGTTACCTACAAAGCATCATCCATACAATCTGAATTTAGTGTATATATATACAAAAAATGTAAATTACTTCACCCAGGTTCTGTTAAAATGCTAGCTATTTAGGTGAAGTGGAATATGTAAACAAATGTCCTACTAGTTACACACTTTAAAGGATAAACTTTTCTATTTCAGAGACTATAGATTACAGACTGTTTTAAAAGAATATATTATGTAAATATATTTGCTCTAAAAATCACATAATTTAAACTTTAGTTGGAAAGTGAATACATTGCATACAGATTCTAAAAGAAAACCACGCTAGAGGGAATTCTTAAAAAACGCTAGAGAATGTCTGGCAGTTCTCATTATCAAAAGCATGTTTTTCTGGAAAGCAGTGATTTTAAGGTCAACCAGCCTTTTATTTCTCCAAGAAATATTTTTGTGTTGTCCTGATGTTTTTCCCCTCTTGCAAATCATGTAGCATTCCAACCAGCTAAAGGTTTGTCATCAGACAACCCAACAGGTTATTCAGGATTTGCAAGCTCAACACTCTTCAGGTATAAATACTGCTCAGCAGGACTGCAGGGTTCACACAGTTTGAGTTTCTCTTTGGTTTGTTCATGATTCTCAGCTAAAGCTAAAGATGACCATAAAACACTTTAAGATTGAATATGACGCCATCAACAGCAGGAACATTTTTACCAACGGAGATACCATAAATGGACGGATCATCCTGGAGGCCTCAAAGAAAACAAAAATCCAGTCACTTGTTTTTATCGCTAAAGGGAAAGCTTTAGTTCGCTTAGTTAATTATTATGGGGACATCATCAGCAGGGAGGACGTGACTGATGATTATTTTCAGGACAAACTGAAATATTATCGAATCAAACAGGATATCGTGAAGGAAGGAGAACAAGATGGTGACGTATGATGTTAATTACCATTTCTAGTACTTAATATAAATGTATCTAATCAGAGCTGATAATAGTTATACAAAAGCTTTTTTTTTGTTCCAGGAAGGGAAGTCATTGAAAAAGGAAGGCATGTATTTCCTTTCAGCTTTAAGATACCAAACAGGTATTATCCCAGTATTAATGTAAAGTTAGTGCTCCTACTGTATATATTTTCAGAAAATAATTCCTATCTCTTTTTATTTAGCCGGAAAATACCTTCATCTTTCTCCTCAATCTTCGGGCAAATTGTTCATACGCTGAAGGCAGAGTTAAAACAGTCAAAGAAGCTTAGGAGAAAAGCTAAAACCCACTTCACATTTATGGGCACGGCAAGAGGCAGTAGACTCATGGTAAGAAAAAAAAAACAGAACTGCTGAAATATTGTCAAAGTTTCTGATCTAAGAAATAATTCTTGCGTACAATTTATATAAACCGTATGTTTTGCAATGCAATTTTAGGCCCGCCAACATGAAAGTGTGAACAAAAACATTGTTCTTGGCTCTGGAAAGGTTACAATGGATGTCCATACAAGGCGGAGTGGATACAAACAAGGTAAGTATTTGCTTTGTAAAAATAAATAAATGAATTACGGTTTACAAAGTATTAGTTCTCTAATTGTCCTTATGCTCTTTAAGATGTACGCATAATATTGTTAGATTGTGCACATTTAGGCACACCCTTTGCCTGACACACATAGCCCTGTCAAAAAAGCATCAATACAATGTGATGTTTTTTACAAGTTGTTATGCTACATTCGTAAACTACAGCTGGGACATTTTAGTAATTGTAACACAAAGCAGTACATTGTTGCCACATAAAAACAAATGACTCACCATTTTCAAAACATTCTACAAATAGACAGGGACAACTGTGGTGTGCATCTCAATTTATTGCTTTTAGAACCACCCTTTGCTATGATAACAGCTTGACATGTGGACTGTCTTTCAACACCAATATAAGTCAAATTTTCAATTAGATTTAGGTCTTAGCCATTCTGACTCATGGGTGTGCCTGAATTTAAACTATTTTTCTTAAGGGTGTTGGGATCCTCGGGCTTGATAGAGAACTTTACACAGTACAGATCTTTTTCTATTTCCCTAATCCAGCTGATGATGATGAGATGCATCCCCATAGCATGATGCTGCCACCACCCTATATCCCTGCATGCATCATGTTTTCTGGGTATTTAATATAAAATACGGTTTTGTGCGTAGACAAAAATGTCAGTTTTTATCTGATCCGACCAGAGCAGCACCTTCGATGTAGTCGTTCCTTCCTTAACATGGCTTTTCTTAAAAAGCAAAAGAAAACGCTAACTACGAGATTATAGGAGATCAAGGATATTAGCCTTCTTTTAAAATATGCTCTCCTGAACTGTCAGTTCGGATGGACGAGCATGTCTTGATATCTTGACAGTTGTGCCGAATTCTTTGAAGATTTCCGATGGTTAATCGAAAGGTGCTCTGTTACTGTAAATATTCAAAGCTCAGGGTTAGCTTCCTAAGCTAGACTTTCTCCACAGCTTTATCAATGAACAGTCTGCTGCGATCCTTGATCTTCATGATAATGTCTTCACTAATGTCCTCAACAGTGTTGGGAATCTTAAATTATTAATTATAGTTACTAGTTACTTCTCTAAAAAAGGAATTGAGTTAGTAACTCAGTTACTCCTCAATATAAGTATTTTTTTTACCAGCCAAAGAAACTATGAAGTTATGTTTTATGATCAAAAATGTTGAAGAATTTGAATAACTTCTTGTTACTGAAACTAGAGGTCCAGTTATGGAATATAAGGTGTTTGTTATTGATTAATGAATTAAATAATTAATTATAAGGTCTACACATCTGAAAACATTGAATACTTATTTTTGTATTTGTGGTTTGACAAGTGAGTTGTACTATAATTATGTAGATATAATGGTGTCTGTTTGTTTATAAGAAAAGAACATTAAGATCTTTTAGAACTTTTTATTTTTGCATATTGACAGCCTTTAAAAGGCTATACAATTGGTATGAAAGTGAAAAATATTACTTTTCAAGCAATTTAACAAAAATAAAATATTATTTTCAATAGAATTCCATAAAATAACAAACCCTTGCAGGATTCTATGATCCCATTATTTGTGTGAAAAAACATAAATCATGCAAACAAAATCAATGTAGCCCTGAAAGAGGTGATTTTGGGCAGCAGCTGTGAGTCAGTTCAGATGAAGCAAGGAGCTTCATAAGATTACAGCTTCTAACCGACGTTTATAAAGTCTTTGTTCCCTCACATAATGAGCAAATTATAGAAACATTTATCCTTTGACTTCAGCTGCGCTTTCTTTTTGGAAAACCGCTGTCATTAAATCAGTGGCTCTGTGCCATCGTCTCTCCTCTGTGTTTAAGACATTCTAAAGACCCATGAATATTATGGCTCCTCAGTCAGTCGGAGTCACGTAGGCCTCTATTTTAGCTCCCTTCCCTGCCTGCTGTATAAAACTCGCTCTACTTCAGGGAGAGCGTGTTTATAAAGAGTCACTTTGAATCATCAAGTTGTATTAACGCATTACGTTAGATTTCAGGCAATGTAACAGTAAGCAAAAAGTATTTTGATTATTTTTTCAATGAAAAAACAGCGCAGTTACTACCGCCATTATTTTGGTACTTCCAACACTTGTTCTCAATCAGGTCTTTGCACAAGAAAGGAAGTAGTTGGCATGGGTGGTTAGAACTAGAGGTGGACGGATCGATCCTAGTATTGATGATACTGATACCATTGCTGGTACTGATATTTAACAACACTTGTGTGAAAAGATCTATCCTTTGTTTTCCTCTAATGCATCGCTGACGGCTGCAGATTCACCAAAGTCTTACTGTCTGTGTCAAAGCACTCTGCTCATTGCCCTGCCCTCTCCTCACGTGGCTCACCTGTACCAGCCAAACAAGCAATAATTGCTCTAGAGCTAATTTTGTTTTAATAACTTAATGTTGGAACTGTAACTATGCAGACTTTTTTTTCATCACAATGTTTTTAATCACTGCTGCTTACTTTTATCAAGGCTGCACTTTGAAAAATGAAAAAGTCTAGAGAGCTGTACTAAACAAAATTTCTTTTTGTATACACGTATGTGTACAAAATGACAAAATAAAATCTGTTGAAGTCTAAGTCTAAGATTTTGTTTTAAATTGCTTTGAAACTTTGTTTTGTTAATTGTTCAATTCTAATAACGTAAAAATAACAAAAAACACAAAAAGATCAACAGGTTCAAGTATCGGTATCAGTACCAATGTCAGCGCTACTGACTTTTTAATTTACTTTGTGTTGGATCAATTCCAAAATTCCCAGTATCGCCCACCTCTAATGAGAATGCTACAGGGGATTGTGCGATGGCATCTACCAGATATGGACTTGCTTTATACTGCATAAGTCCAGAAAATGGCTAGACATATCGCATCAGATTGCGCTTTTTGGTCCATTGATATCATAAAAAATTCAGCTGCTTTACATCCATAACAATAAAAGAATAATACTAGTAAGGTACTCACAATTTTACATGATGCTAATCGCTTTCTCATGGTATCTAACAAGAAACTTTGAGTTACTTGATTTAAAAAGTTTTTTAAGGGATACAAATAAAGAGAAATAAAATAGAAATTTGCACCACACTTTTAATATGTTCTAAATTTTTTACTGGCCCATAATTCCTCTCTACATCTATTTTGTTGTTATAGCTTTTTGGTGTGTCAGGCTGGAGACTGACTACTTGTATATCTCTTTATTGTACAGGTGAGGTCCTCCGGGTCAAAGTTGAAATTCAGAATCTCTCAAGTCGTTCAGTCAAAGCCAAATTTGTACTGTATGAGATAAAGACCTTCTTTGGCCCAAACCGAGGCAAAATTCAGAAACATGAAATACAGAAGGAAAAGTCAGATGCTATTGAATCGCAATCTGGCCAAACCACTGTGATAAAGGAAATGATCATCCCTCGAGAGCTTTCCCCATCCATTTTGAACTGCTCCCTCATCAGGCTAGAGTACATGCTAAAGGTAAGGTTCACCTTGTTGGCAAATGCTGTTATTTGTAGTCTATGTATAATTCAGCATAAGATTAATTTAGATGGCATGGTAATCTTAATTCTATAATGTTAAAAATAGTAAAAACTATCTTGAATGTAGATCGAAAATGCAGGCATTTCAAAAAATGTCCATCAGGGGAAAATGAAAAAGATACGCTAATGATCCTTTTACAAACATAAGCTTGATAGGTTTGAATTGCATATCTTTTGTTTTATTTATTATTTATTTGTTCATTTTTTACAACTTCTCTTATTTGCTTAGGCTGGTACCTCATAACATTCTATTCCAAAAAAAATTTTGGAGATATTTTCACATCAGTTTTATCATGTAATGTAGAAGCAAATGCAACAGAATGTAAAGTTCAACAACCAAATATTGCACAACCAAAAACACAGGAAACACCAGGGAAAACACACATGAGGAGTAAGGTATGACGAGGAACCAGCAATAAACAACTGCAGAGGAGGTGTATATAGGGGGAACACAAAAAATATTGGACTAATGAGCTAATGTGGAGCAGGAGTAGATAGAAGTAACTAGAAGGGATCTTGGGGAAAGGAGACAAGCAAAAGGGGGCAACTCAGGTTGAGTAACTCAAAAGAATGCAACACAGCTTAAATATAATATATATAATATATATATAATATATATATATATATAAAATGGAAAATAAACCAAAGAACAAAACAGAAGGACATAGATAACTGAAAACTCAAAGTCCAAAAGGGACGAACCATAACATATTTGTCTAAACTGCTAGTGAACTGTGCCTTCATCACTTGGGCATTGCTGCATAACAATAAACTGCCAACTTGGAGACATAACAAACTAACACCCTGAGAAGATATTTAAAAGAGTTGTACAAAAAGACCAGTCTGCCTGTAATTTATCAGAGTCGTGAATGACCACATAACTATATATTATTCACATATTAGGATGGTAGACTTCTTGTTATCGTCCTAATATTTAGCTTCCTTCACAGAATCCCTGTCAGGTACAATTTGAGACTGCTGGGCCAAGAATGTTAATTCTCCGAGTTGGAAGAACCATGTTTGCAAAATGACAAAAAAATGAATGTGAATGTGAATAGATAATTGTGCTTACATTTATATGCATTATACTTCTATTTATAATGCATTATACTTAACTATATTTGTCTCTCTCTCTCTCTATCATTAAATTTTATATTTTATCATGGCAGGTATATCTGGAAATCCCATGTGAGACAGACTTGGTTGTCAAACTCCCTATTGTCATCATTCCTGAGCTGTCGAGGGAGGGGAGTACATCTGGTTGTTCTAGATCTCAAACATTTGCAAGTCGAAACCAGCCAGCCTGGATGTCACAATCAATGGAACCCCCACCTTCCTATGAAGAATCTGCTATGTACCCCTTATATCCCTTTGGAGATTTATGATCTTAATTGTAAATTCCTCCTCTAATGGTAGCCTTTAGTATGTCACACCAGCAGTAGCTGCACTGGTATTTTTCCTCATTATACTGTAGTTCATTCACTGGTCAAATGTAGCTGCAAGTACTACCTCAAATTCAATGCACTCACCATCAGTGAACTTGGCGATTAATTTAATAAATTAGCTAGATAAAATGACTTCATTGAGAGCATAACAGCTAATACAAAAATCCTAAACCATGTAATTAAAAAAAGGCTACATGATGGACTAGGGATGAGTACAGATTGGAGGCCTACTGTACTTCCTTCTCCCCGGATTTATGCAATTAGAAGACATTGACAATTAGAGATCATTTTTCCAAACCATGATAAATGGCCTGTACTTGTGTATTGCTTCACACAACAATCATTCACTGTTTCACACACAAATGATGGATGACACAATGACTGAGATGGACAGAGTTGGGGTTTGAATGGATAACCCGCCAGGTACAGGACAAACTCCAAACCTGTGAGCCACTGCTGCCAAACTGTTGGAAGAATTTGATTGTCCTTAATTTTTCAATGAAAAAAAGAAATCTTCTTATTTAGAAGTCCTGATTTTGTGGATTATCCTGATTCTTTTCTTGGACATTGTGTCTCCTAAAATCAGAATTTTGTGCTAAACTAGAGTGAGATGTTTAAAAAATCCTGTTAGTTTGTATATCCCACACTGCAAAAAAAAAAAAAAGAAATCTAATTAAAATAAGTGCATTTGTTCTTGAATTGAGGAGGTAAGTGAGACACTTTGCCAATGGAACAAGGCAATTTACATTTAAATAATAAAAAAAAGAATTGCATTGTCTTATTTCAAGTGCTTATTACCTCATTGTCTTATTTTAACAGTAAAAATACTCATTCCATTGGCAAATCATGTTTACCTACTGAAATTAAAAGCAAATACACTTAATTTAAGAAATGTTTACTTATTTTTAGATTGTTTTTGCAGTGTTTGTATTGTTTCCGACATTGAAATGAATAGAAACATGTTTAGAATTTCTATGACTTTTTGAGTATAGTTGTTTGACCAATTAAGCATGACTGACAGACTGTTTGCTTGCTTAAGGTCAGGTAATGAGAGCTTTGGAAATATTTTCCCAAACTGGTTATACAAGGTACCATTTTTTCATCATCTGCACACAATAAGTTAGGTGACAACACTGCTAGAATGACCCAGATGATACGAGTCCCAGTATCTGACTTCCGTCTCTGCATGGTTTCACAGCACCCTCCTACTTGTATACTCTAACGGGCCCCATATTGTCTCCTCCTGATGAGTCAATAAATGAAAATTTTTTCACATTTTTAATTCAAACTGGAAGCAGATACCAGAAGTTCAGAGAACTTCCTGGGATAACAGTGGAGCAGGAAGGTTGATCCCACTCTGCTCCTCTTTGCACAGCAGTGGGACTTATCAATGCTGTTCTCATCATATTCATAAAAGCCCAATATCTGCCTAAATCTTTATATATTAAAGTGAAGCTTTTTATAGGAGTGAGTCACTCAATGTTTGATTCTGCAAAAATGTTAACTTAAACAAAAGTTTGATTATAGATCTGGCTGATTCAACCTTTCTGTAGAATCGAGCCACCTAACTGTTTGACAACTGTCAGATTTTTGTTTCTTTTTTAAATGTCATGAAAATGGTTTAATTTAGTTCCATCTTATTGATGTCATCTTCCTTGGACTGTGGTAATGCAGCATTTTTAGAATGGCTGTCTAATTTTCTCTGTTTTTTTGTACATAGCACATCAGGTCCTCCTTAAACATAATCAAGAAGTGAGACAAATGGTATGACAGCTGGCCTCTACTTGCTTCTTAAAATGAATATCACATTAATACTCTCTCATCACTTTTGAATCACCAATTTAGACTGTCATTTGCTCTGAGTAGAGCCCTACACCTTGATTTAGTGATAGTAAAGCTCCTATTGTTTTACATTTTAATTGTAGTTGATCCGTTAAACAGTTGTGTTGATCTTACCCGTTATGCTTTACTCTGTTTTAAATTAACAACATATTTTATGGTGAATCACCATGTGACTTAATTTGTGTTATTTCAAATGTGTTTTTATATCTGTTGTTAATTTGTGATGTTTGATAGTTTCCACTGTTTTTTTTTTTGTTTTTTGTCTTACCTTCTGTAAAAAGCTATTGAATTTGAAATGATTGTTTATTAACTGGTACATTATACCAATTGCTTTACAAAAAAGAATAAAAATTTAACTTGCACACATAAAGTACAACATCCCTGTATACTCAGTTAAACTAATGCCTTTGGCCTCCCTGATAGAGTTACCTATGTGAAAATGACACCAACAGGTTTGATTACGTGATCTGTTCAGACAAAGAACCCAGTTCTCTAGTCTACTACTCTGGTCTTACCGGCATCTTTGTTCATCAAAGTGAGGCATCATCCCAATTCTAACTTCCAAGACTTCGGCACAATGCTTTTATGTGAATAGATTTTTAATCAGAAGCTTGATTGGCTGTTTGTCTTATCATGACTGTGAAGCATTTCTCAGTGGAGTACGACAGGGGGAATGAGCAAGGAACCTACTCCCCAGGTGATATTCTTTCTGGGAAAGTGACAGTGGTAACCAGCAAAGAGATCAAAGTGCAGAGTTTTTTGGTCAGAGCTAAAGGAAAAGCTAAAGTGACTTGGTATGAGCAGGAAGGACAAACCTCAGTGGCTTACTGCAACAAGAAGAAATACTTCTATTTTGAGCATATAATTCTTCAAGACAAAAAAAAGGGAGATGGTAAGTTTATTTTGCCATTTGGTTTCTGAGATGAGTGTTATTCATTTTATTTTTTTTATAATTTTTCATGACTAATAAGTTGATAAACTTTCACCTAGTGTAAGATTATTCTCTGTTTTGAGGTTCAGAAATCATAGGCCCTGGGATAAAGGTTTTTCCATTCAGCTTTGTGATTCCAAGCAGGTAGAGTTGTTCTCAGATATTTACTAACTAAAATATGATGATTGAGATAAAATACTTTGCCTTTGGGTTCTCCCTTTACAGAGACATGCCTTCATCTTATAAAGGTAAATGGGGTGAGATCACGTATAGTTTGAGAGCTCATTTGACTCAGTCAATTTGGTTGGTACACAAAACCAAGACTGAGTTTCCCTTTCTGACCAAGTCAGAGTTCCCCTTTGCCTCCAAATCAGAAATGATAATCATTGGGCTGAAGGTGAGAAATTATTTAGCTTAGCTTCATTTCTGTAGATGTCTAAAAGATTTAGATTTCTCTCTTGTGTTTATATGGTATGATAGGAGCAACAGCACGCAACCAGGATTTCATTTTGTGGCTCTGGGAAGGTTGCTATGAATGTTACCTCTGAAAAAATGGGCTTAAAGCAAGGTAAGTAGATTTAACACATACATTTTCATAAGTATCTACAAAGAGAAACAGTCCTGAACATGTACACAAAAATCCTGGAAAATACATACAAAGACAGAAAATATCTAAAACATGGAAGTATCTAGATAGTATTGTAGTGTAGTAGTGGTAATTACTGTTAAAAGTGTAGAGTGCTATTTGATGAAGGGATTTCTCCTTGCAAAGGTGTCATATATGAATTACATGATGTGAACACAACATACTGATGGCATTGGATAGAGACATACTTCTATTTTTTAATGACCAATAGGGCCATAATTAAAGGTATAGTGGAGGATTTTCACCCAAAAAATGCACATGCACAATTAATTAACCGCTCCCGAGAGGGAACGCCCATTAAAATCGTAGGAAAGCGGCTGTTCCAACGTTGCATTTCCAAATTCTCCCGAGTGGTGCCCGACCTTAAATGGGTCAATAAAAATGTGATTGATCGTTTATCAAGGGGGCGGGATTGCTGTGGAGGAAGGTTTGCAAGCATGCTTGATTGTAGCCGGTTTCTCGGAAGCATCTTGCTAACCAGTTAGCAACTTAGTGGTAGCAGGTTCCCAATGGGAAATTACATTGGGATCAAGTAGCATTAAATTGGTGACTTAGAAACGACACAGTCAAGGAACGCTTTGGACAGCAGAAACATGCCGGAGGTCGTGGATGAGTCTCCTCTGTCATACATTTTTATTTAGAGGAGGAAAGCGCGGACAAAGATGTTATGGAAGAGGACGCCAGGGCGGCAGAAGCTTGGTTTGATGTAGAAGGCTTACAGCCGTACATGTTTGAACCATTGCCTCGCAATGCTGCCAGTTCTATTAATTCTACGCCTGCCGAAGACATAGACATCCATCCCCGTGAACACTGGGACGCAACTCAATGGTAAAGTAAATGATTCGTATTTCTTATTTCCGTTGCGTATATTAGCTGTGATATATGAATCAAGATGCTATGACCGAAAAAATTTCATTGACAAATGACAGTTGATATATGATTGACCGAAATTAAGTGTACAATCTCACGTATAACCAACTGGCCTGCATAAGATAACGGAAAAAAATAGATATAGATTTTAAGACAGGATTTTCTTTTAGATAGAAATGTTCTAACTTTTGGGACAATATGGTCTGATAAAGATTACATTTATATACATGTTTAATCCAGAATGATTTAAAATTTAAATATGACTTCCCTACAACTTTAAGTGTGAGAGCATGCATGTGTCCATTTCTTCTCGTGCACGTGCTTAAAAGTTGCTGTTTGCATCGTTCATACAAGCTTACTTTCCAAAAGAAGAGTTGCAATTTTTCCACTATGACAGGCTCACCACTGGTGACACATCACCAGAAGGATTGACAATTAGGAGGACCACCTATTTTAATGATACACCCGGAAAAAGAACATCCTCCGCTATACCTTTAAGAAAGAGATAAGAAACCAATAAACTGGTGTTGAATACATTCTCATCACAAAATGTATTACAGAGGAGTCAAATGAATCATAATAAAGGTTTCCTATGAGCCTTTGATCAATTTTAGAGAGCTGTAGAGAGAGCTTAATATGGAGGTACAGTTGTTCAATGAAATAAGTAATGCACCCAGAAATGTTAAGACTGTTACTGGGAACTATTGGTCTTGATTATAAAAATCATTCCAATAGTCTGTCCCTACACTGGATTTTTTTCTTCAGCATATTGAACAGATTTTTGCAAATAAATTTCTTTATGAGTGGATTACATGGTTTGTTTCTAACATCCGGTTGAATTTCAGGTAAATATCCTCATTAGTTAAACATTTATCTGAGTAATGCTCAGTGTTTCTGCATGTCTGTTTTTCAAATAAATTTGTTTGCATCTTCCTGACTGAAAAAAGGTGAGGCAATGGGAGTCTCTGTGGAAGTAATCAATGACTCGGCACGCTCTGTAACACCTAAGTTCTACCTTTGTGAGAAGCAGACCTTTGTGGCACAGTCAAAGAGGAAAACACAAACAAAGGACATCTTGTTCGGGATAGGAGACGCAGTTCCTGCCGAGAGCAGTCAGACTGTAACCAAAGTGTTGATTATCCCTCCATATCTTCCTGCTACCTTCTTCAACTGCAGCTTGATGAATCTTGAGTACAAAATCAAGGTACTGTAATTAGACTTGTTAGGCGATAAATATAGACAGCTGTACAAGTTCCTTGTTATTCTACCATTTTAATATCATTTTAATCTCATTTTAACACCATTTTAATTTCTTTATTTTTATAACTCAATAAAAGGCTTGGTTCATAAATGTATTTATTTTACTAACTGAAGGTTTTTTAAGTGCTGGAATCATGAAAAGAGCTCAACAAACAGAGTGTGTGATGGGAAAGAGAGAGTAAATAGGAGGGGTTGAAAGCCTCATGGCTCATCAAGGGAAGAGTTTCATATTACACCACAACCTGTTCCATCATGCCATCTACCCCAACAGATTTGCATCTGAGCTCTCACAACACAATTGTTCATTAGGCAGAGAAAAAAGCATTGCATACATTACTGCCCATTGTCATATTAATAGGTCAGTTTATCAAAGTATTATTAGAATGTTTGTAATTTTTTTTTTATTCTTTCGCCAACAGGTCATCCTTAATGTCCCTTTGCGGAGAGACTCAGAAATTAAACTTCCTCTGGTCATCCTGCAGAGTTCGCCAGCACCTCTTCCCCAAAAAACCAGGAGACCTATCTGTTTCAGGACACTTCCTGGTTAAAAGGACAGTTCTGAGAAAGGAAGATGGATATAATGGTATTAATGCAAGTCGGTGTTATTTTAAATTAATTGATAAAAGTAGCTACAGTGATCACTTTTAAAGTTGGGTCTATGTTAAAGTAACTTCTGATGGTGGTAAAACATTATTCAGTATATACTGTACATGTCCACTAGATGGCAGTGTCAGCAACTTTTGAGTAATGGCATATTTAATTTGAATGTTTTTGTGTACATAGGTGCATTATTGTATAGTGAAATGTAGTGAATCAAAGTAAGACTTGAGATCAAATGTATGAGATAATCCAGTTTTACTTGGGAAGAAGATATTGACACATTTTTAAAATTTAGTTGTGCAGAACAACTATAGCTTAAAAAAAATATAGAAATAAAAAAAAACACACACACTTTGAGGATAATTTAACCACAAAACCGAAAATGTCTACCTCTTGAAATAGTTTTTTTTTATTAAATAAATTGATCATATAAAAAAGACTGGGTATGTCCAGTGCCCCTTTGTCTGTATATTTATGTGCTTGTTTCTTGTGACTGAGAGGATCAGAATACAATTCTGGTATAATATTATTGTAGAGCAGTTGGTCCTTTAAAGAGCTAACATTCACGGCTCAGTTAAGTAAATCTGTCAAAAAAGTACAAATCTTTACTGTATGGTTTTGCAAGAATGATTGCTGAAAGGTAGGCATGAAAATCCATATTTAAGGTTCATCCAATACACCTAACTTTGAGTTTACGTACTAAATACAGAATGCTATAACAAAAGGAAAACTAACACAACATCCCCACTATAAAACATTGATGTGGCAGCTTTACACTATGATGCTCTTCTTCACCAGGAACACGGAAGCTGGTAAGAGATTATATATAGAGAGGTGAAGTTAAGCACAGGGCATGACTGAAGGAAAACCTGTTGAATGCTGCAAATGACTTGAGTCTGGGAGAAGGGTTTATCTTTAGACACGTCAATTAAAATGATTAAATCACAATATGGTTTCTTGTTAAATTGTCTGAACTTGCATAGGGGGTTTCTATTTAAACTGACTACCAAGAACAAGTTTACATCACATCAGAATTCAGACACCTATTGAAAGCCAACTTGAGGTCAGTTAATTAAATTCAATTCAGTTTATTTCTATAGTGCCAATTCACAATACAAGTCATCTCAAGGCACTTTACAGTTCAACTAGATCATACAGTCAAATTGATTCAAAGTATTATATCTAAGGAAAACCAGTTGATTGCATCGACTCATTGACTCAAAAGCAATCCTCACACCAAGCATGCTTGTAGCGACAGTGGAGAGGAAAAACTCCCTTTTAACAGGAAGAAACCCTCCAGCAGAACCAGGCTCAGTGTGAGCGGCCATCTGCCGAGGCCGACTGGGGTTCAAGGAGACAGAAGCAGAGATACAAAAAGCAGCTGTAAAAGGCGGCCCCGTCCATTATCTCAAGTTTTAAATACGGGAGTTAGCTGGAAATTAACATTCGACTTTTCGTATGTAAGATAGACATTTACATCCCTATGCTGACCATCTAAATAAGGTAGGAAAACCTTTATGGATAAGATTCATTTTGGCTGACACCATAATATCAGCTTGACTCATCAATGCTTATAGTCAGGAAGCAGAGCAGGTCACACCACACAGAAAGTTGCAATACCTTATATAGCCTCTCTTTTATTGTAAAGGTCACTGTCAGGGTCAAAACATACTTTATTTGTAGAAAATAAATCCAGATTTGATAGATCAACAAAATATGCATAGGTTGTCATTCAGCTGTTTTGATGTTTTTTTTTTTTTTTTTTATAAATTTGCTTTACGAAAAGCATCTACTCAGCTTGACTCAGTATTTTCTCCTGCATTGGGCTCAAACCTAAAGCAAAAAAAGAGTGCAGTACAGAATTTGGATAAACTAAAAATAAAGCCGATAAAATTCATGACTTTATCTATACTTCCTAAAAATAAATTTAAAGGAAAAACACACCGATAGGCTGTACTATAAATAAAATGAAACAGGCCCTTTTTCACAGATATGCAACTGAAAAAGCAAGAAACAAAATGGCAACAGGTGGTTGCAAATAGACAAAGGACAACTAAGAACTGTTAATTCATAAGATAATCTATAAAATATTATCTTAATATAAAAATGTTATCTAATCACCTGAAATAGGGTGAAGAGATTTGATTTTAATGAGTACATGTGTCTGCTGAGACGACTATGAGTTATGCAGAACATCTAATTCTGACTGTGGTACTATTTTAATTTGTAAGCAAAGTTAACCTGACAAAAAAAGGCTTTTATCATTAAGCATATGAGGCAATACAGAATATTATTTTAAAGGGTGACAGTATGAATTCTGTACAGAAAAAAAGGCAAAATACCGAGGTTTAGATGGTAAATCTTTCATCTTGATCATCCTTGGCTAAGTATTCATATTACCACTGAGGAAAGAGTTCAACAAAGGAACATTGATGACTCTTACAGTATGTGTGCTTGCCAAACAGTGGTTTCTAATTGAAACCAGGCCCTTATTCCTAACAGACTCAGAGATTCTTCAGAGTTTTATGGTCGGGGTCGATCCAGGAAAAATTATGTCCCCTGAAAAGGACACTACCCTGGGAAGGACATGAGTCAGCTCAGACAAGGGTTTATGATTCATACCAAACTAACCGAACTCGAAGACGCTTTACTCACATGGATTATTGGGAGAAATATCTATATTGTACTTCAAACATTTGACAAAATACCACTTATTCGAAGTAATCGTTTGTGCGTCCACGCTTTTGACTTTTGTACTGTAAATAGGCCCAAATGTGGCTTTATCTGCCTCATCTATCTTAATACAGGCGATGTGACAGGGGGCAAGACAGATTCTTCTAATGCCAAGCAACACCTGCATGAGGATGTCTCTAGAAAACAACACGGGCTCAGAGTTGGCAGCGATTTCGGTCTTGACTGTGCTTGTAGCAAAGCCTGCCTGGTAACCATTCTGGCTCTGTGCAGGCTGTGCACGTTATGAGCCAGCCAGCTCCTTTAACACACACACACACACCAACACACACACTACACAACACCATACCACAGCCCTCTCTACTTTTGGAGAGCCGAGCATGGAGGTGTGGCCTCTGGTACCTCCCATTGCCGTAGCCAGAGTCAGCGCCATGACAACCATGTGGGCCTGCCGGCGACTCCCTGTCTTCATCGGCCACGGTTGCCATGGTAACCCCCCACGGGGGCGACCGCAGATCAGCGGGATGGGCGTCCAGTTGACTAACCCTCTCCCAGCTGGGGAACGGTTGAGAGGGAGTGCAGGGTAGTGGAGTGAAGGGGAAGGGAGGGGAGGATGTGTGTGTCTCTGTGATGTGTGTGTGAGGGATGGCACAGCAGAGCCTGAGGAGGGAGAGTGATAAAGAGATAGAAAGCTTAAGAAGGACAGAGACCTCAGACAGAAGCAGGCTGGAGACGAGGACTCTGCCTTGCAGAAGTGGCCCATCTCTGCCTACATACAGAATTAGAAGCCCACAGCAGAATAAACTCATTAGAAAAATATTTGCCTGTGTCTAAAATTTTTAACTAAACTCTCTTGAGGTCTACAGCCTGACCGAGCAGCGCTGATTCAACCCATGCTTGTGTACAAGGTTAAATTATGTCACTACTCTGCTTTCTCCAGCCTATTTATCACAGCATACTCATCTAAGAGTCTTTATTCATTTTTCTCAGTTTTGTCAGTGAAAAGGACCACAACTTTGGATTTGTTGTAAACGGACCACAGATGGCTGCTGTTGGAGGGAGAAAGTGCATCTCTTAGTCGATTGGCTGGAATGACTGAGGGGTTTTTTCTACTCTAATTGCTCCAAGCTGTGTCCCCTTTAAAGTCCCAACCAAAATTTTTGTTCAGAATATTCATCAAAGATTTAAATGTCAGAAACCCTCAGATTCCTCATTGATGCCTTTTTTATTATACCAAAACAATAAAAACAGAATAGAGTTCAGTTAAGTTCATCATAATGAAGCCTTTATTTTTGGAAAAAAACAGAAAGATAAACTTTCCATCGTAAACATTTTGTGATTTATTGTGAGTGCAGAAACATTTGACTTCTTGGTTTTTTTTTTTGTATATAAAATGTTTACAATAATTAAATGTATAAAAAGTGATACAAGGCAATTTTGTCAGTGTTACAGAAGGCAAGATGCCAAAACATTCAACTATTTAAAATAATCTACAGCTTTTTAATTATTTTTTTATATTATTCGTGCAATTATACCTCTAATCTAAAACTAGCTCTACATAAAGTGTGAATATACTGTGCACTTGTAGTGGTAACCTTTGGAATATTTTTTGTAGTGTTTAAAAAACATTGACTGGAGTTATTTGATTACAGAAATTATATATATATATATATATATATAAAAAGAGTTCAGATTTACTTATGAAACTCAGAGAAGCAGCCACCCCTACACAGGTGGACGTTGCATATCTTGCACCCGAAAACACTTTCGTGTCGCAGTCCCTTGTTTGTGCAGTTCCTGCATCGACGGGAGCGCTCTGACATGCGCTCCAGTCGATGTCCATACTCTATGGGGGAGTCTGCATGCCTCTTACGTGCTGCTCGCTCCATGCCCCTTGCCCCCTGGTAGTCTCCAATCAGCTGCTGCGCCAGCCGCACGCGGAAGTGACGCTGTGTGAACTGCTTCCCATTGAATCCAGCCGGAGGCGCGCCACCTCGGCTTTCCCTAAGTATTATGTAGGCGTTGACGATACACAGGTTGACATAGAACCACAGGAAGTAGCGCCACCACTTCTTGCACGGCCTGCCTACCTGGTAGCACTCCCTCAATTGATCACACAGGTCCACCCCCCTCATGTTTTCCTGGTACAGCAGCAGTGGCAGAGGTCGTGGTACACCGAACGAGAAGCTAGAGCCGTCCAGGCTGTCGCTCTCCCCCTCCCCATCTGTGTCTGGGTGCTGACGGCTCGGACTGATCCCCACAATCCCAGGTGTGGAGTTGGTGGAGAGGCAGCTAACCATTTTGACATCCCGGGTCACTGTAGCAACTAGGTTACCATGCTGGCACTGGTAGAACTCCCCCTGGCAGAGCTTTCCCACATTGCGAGGACGTAGGACTTCTGGGTAACCTTTTCGCCCGGCATGAGTGGGCCCACAGGCGTACAGTCCATCCCTCAGCAGTCTCTGGAGGAGGGGCACAGAGGTGAAGAAGCTGTCCATGAACAGATGGTGGTACTGACCCTCCAGGCCTCGCACTAAAGAGCTCACCACCCTGTAACCCAAAGCGGCTGCTGCCTCATCATCACTGGGCTTACCTACATAGATCTTGGTCCTGTGGCAGTAGCCTGAGCGGGAGTCACAGAGCATCCACACAGTCAGCCCTTTCCGCAGGGGCTTAGAGGACATATACTGG